CATAACATATGAATTGCAACTTCCAATGTACCACAAAAATCAAGTTTCTCACAGAATACATTTCAACGCCAATTCCGGCGGCGCATGTGCCATTAGCCAAGATTGCGCTCTGGCACCAAGCATTTCTCAGTTAATACAAAACAATCTTCTTACGTTCATGTGTGATCCCATTTTTCATAACAGTTGTGATCTACCTGGAAGATTTGCTATTCGTTGTTGGGTACTACTTTTATTCAATCCTTGAATGACATAAGTAAATGCTGAAAAAACTGTTTTGCCATGCAATCTATATAGAGCTCTTTCAATCTGTGGAAGAACTTTCCTAGTATTTTAGTTTTGGAGTGAATCTTCAGCCTCTTGCTTGGTTGTGCTAAATTTCTTGCAGAATTCTTTCAAAATTTATTCCCTATTCCTAAGCAAGTCAAGCATTTTCATGCATTTGCTTCACAGATTTCACAACCATTGACAATAATATGCTCAATGAACACTTTTCCCACAGGAAACTTTCAGAATAATTTTCGTCATAATCCTAGGCAGAAATCTTATTTCACCAATGGTTGAGCATGCTGAAATACTTGGAGTCGTCGGAAGAATAACTGGTTTGACAATGATTTAAATGGTGGGTGGGTGGAAATAAAATTACTTTTTAAGCAAAAGTGTAAATAGTTTAATAGCGTATTTTTAAATAAATACCGTATTTGCTGGCTTACAAGATGCAATTTTTATTTCAACACAGGTCTGAAAATGGAGCACGTCTTGTATGTCAACACTCAGTTTATGATTACGTTCATTTCTGGAAATTTCTTCTATTCAGAGTAATGTGATTTCACCCCCACCCTCTCCTCCATTTCTTTGAGGAATATGGGAATATTAGTTACGTGGAGTTTAAGTGAATGCCTATATGGTGTCATCGACGATCACAGCTGGGTTTTAAATAGTTGAAATTTCTACTGTTTAATTTTCTTAAATTTTTTGGCAAGTTGTGGCTCAGGAACAACTTTGGCATTGCTTTAACGTAGTACATGAGCTACGTGTGATTGCATATACTAAAGAACATTGAAACAGGGCTGCAGAGAGGCATTTTGGGCTATCCCCAACTGAGAAAACTATAAGAACTTGGTGGAATCGGGAAGAGGATCTGCACAATCGCCTGTACTTGAGGCGGAGCTGAATACTTGGATTTTAGACTACAGAAAAGTGGAACTCTCAAGTTCTACAAAAATGATTATTCATCAAGCAAAAGCGATTAAAAAGTGTTCTTTTCCAGATAGATTGGGTATTTACAGAAAGTATTACTTTATATTTAAAATACTGTAAATTCATTATAATGATCAGTTATAGTTTCATCCTTCAATAATGTGTATATAAAAGGGAGTTCATTTTGTATGCCGGCAGATTTTTTTTTCCCCTTTGAATAACAGTTTCTCTGCAGTGCGCATTGACACATGTCATTTAATATTATACCCTTTCTAAAAGACTGTTCATGAGTTTTTTACAAAAGGTCGGTTTTCTTTTAAATAACGTTTTGTTAATTGCTCAAATAACAATTTTTATGTAATTATAGATCAATGAATATGCTTCACCCATTTTACTTCTACTAAAATAAAGCAACCGTAATTGTAAAGGGAGAGGTATAAAGGAAATTAGAAAAAATAGTTGGTTCCTCTATCTGAAGAAAACTCTCTCAATACAAGCATTAGAATTTTTTATTTTCTTGGGACTTTTCTGAACACAAAACTGTAGATATAAGATGTATTTATGTGTAATCATGTTGATCACAATTCGTTAATTTACTTCAAATCCTGTCTCATTATTTTTTAAACAATATAAATTTGAACTTGCGGCTCTCAAACATTCATAAAATCTACCATGTGGTTCCATCGTCTTGAAGTTTGGCCTTTCCCTATATATAATTTCATATTTATTCTGAATGTTTATATTACTAAAGAAATTTAATTAACAGCTTTTAATCTGCCTTTTAAATGTGTTTAGTTTTTTCATAACAGAAATCTTTTAATTAAATCTAAAAATTCTCAAATGAAGAGAAAGCATATTGAAAAAAGAAACTGAATACATAAAGAAATTTATTCTTCAAAGATATGTAGAGTTATTACGTAAATTAACCAGTTGTTTATAATTTCAACTTTTACTGTAACCTCCTTTTTCAATTTCTTTCCCTGAAAGCAAATTCAGTTTTTGGATTGTAAGACTGTCTGTTTCTGGCCTTGCTTTGTAACTGCATCAGTTCCTGCCAGCTCTGATAATCTATAATTATTCATCTTTGCATTATCACTGCCGTCATTTAAATTTGCTACGACAGAGTTACTGACCAGCTTGTATTAAAATTAAACTGACTATTAGTGTAAATTTTTAGTCTGAATTTGATTCTTCCTGTTTAATTGCATCACCACGAGCTGCTTTTGTTAGCATAAGAACATGCATTTATGAGCCAAGTTCTTTTTAAATAAGATGTATATTTAAACCTTTATCTGACTTTGTAGTTACTTTCAAACATGGCAATAATTTGCTTCATGTCTGCCAGGGGTTTGGGACCATTTAACTTTTACCAGATCTAGTATAACCTCATAGATACATTATCGAGAGATTGACAAGTTAGGAGATAAAGTACGCAGAAATGAGTTGGAATATTGGTTTGCTTATTAAATCAAATTTCTAATTTTTAGGAAAGATACTTAGAGAAGAAAACTGATATAAATTAGCCAATCTGGGAAGGCTTCGAATTTTGCTACGAAACAAATGTTTTGTAGCTTTTAATATGTAATTATCCTAATGTCATTTAAGAATCTGTGTGATAAATTACATGCAATTTAAACTGTGAAATGTAATTATATTTTTTTAATAAAATTTAAGTGGCCATGTAAATCTGTAATGGCTAAGGTTATCTAACTACCTAATTTACTTATTTGTAATGACCTGCTCACCCTTAAAATTATCTCTATATATTAAGGCGAGATATTCTCTTTTTAATAAAAAGGCTAATTTCTTACTATGGTTATCAGGTAAAACGAAATACTTTATCTAAAACTTATTCTTTCCATCTAGTGATGTTTAAAATAATATAAAACAACTTGTCACCCCTGGTGCTTTAGTGCCTTATTAGAACCTTAAAGTATACAGTCAAAAGTCTTTAATCCGGACTCGTTGGGACTTTGGCGATTCCGGAATGTCGGTTTTTCCGCATTATAGATCATCCATTTAAATCTGGTCAGATGGCATGCAGAAATTAAAAATATTAAACCATAATTTATGATATAAAGGGTATCAAAATTTGCAAAAAAAGGCTTAATATTTATTTGTTTACTTTATTAAACATTTCTTTCAACGCGCGCATGCGTAAAGCATACATTAAGCATAGTGGAAATTAGAAAACTGCAACCACAAAACTATTTGATGTGTATTCGTGATATTTATAATGACGAGGAATTTGATTTAAATCATATCAGAGTACATTGAGATGAAATACTACATAAAAGGAATTATAAAATTTAAAATAAAAACATTAGAAGGAATATAAGCCGAATAAAATAAAAACCTCTGCCCTGAAGATGAGGATAATGCTGACAGACCAACTTCCAGTTCATTGCGTGCACGCGACGTTAGACACCCCCTCCCCCCCAGAGCAGCGTGAAATTGATAAACATATTTTGGAATGCTTAGAGAATCAAAGGATATTCCTTTATCCATTTTTTGCAGCAATTCTACTTTTTGTTTGATGGGCATCGGGACATGCTTTCGCTTTGTAGATCCTTTGGTAGCTCAAGAATTGGAAATTCTTTTTGACATAATCGAAAGTTCAAGCTTACTTTTATAAAATTTAACTGAAATAGATAATTACATAACTTTAGCTTAGCTTATACCGTCCGTTATACATTAAACTCCCGTACGTAAAGGTATTATGCGCACGCATAGATGCATATGCGCATGCTTTAACGCATTATGCGTTGATGCATGCACAGAAAGTTTGTAGCTTTGAGGTCTGGATTAAAATGAGACAGAGAAAAAATCAATATGAAGCTGTTAGTAAAATGTTCTTAAGCTTTCAAATATGTCCAACAATTGTAAGTGTAAATTATTAAGTGCTACTTAATAAATTTTATAAAGTTTATTTCATTCTTAAATTTCATTAATAACTATGTTTAATAATAATACATTATACTACTGATCTATTTTATTTTTTAGAATGGTATTGCAAAAGTGTAGTTCAGGCATAAATGTCTTCATTCTCAAATTCGATTAATAACTGTTTAATAATAATACATTATACTACTGATCTATTTTATTTTTAGAATGGTATTGCAAAAGTGTAGTTCAGGCATAAATAATGTCTTTAATTGAATTGAGTTCCCATTTGCTAACAGGTCCCTCCCTTTTTTTTGTGTGTGTTAATGGTCTTTAAAATTGCTTAATTTCATGTGCAAAAATATGTATGAACCTTGTCAAAACAAACAAGAAAATTTCTGCTTTTATCCTCTCTTACTTATGGTGTGTACCACTAGAGTAGTTGTGTGTGCTACGAATATCGGAATCCTTGCTACTGCTATCATACAGCATATTATTTTCCGTGCCATCTAGATTATATATTTCGCATTCCAAAATTGTTTCAGGTTTGACACTTTTTCATGCTTCTAGAATCCAATCGCTCATACTGTACACTCACATGTTTAAGCTACACATCCCAATTTTCATCTTTTTTTTTTTTTTTTTTTTTTTTTTTTTATGAAAAGAGTGATGTCTTTATACATGAGAGAATATGACAAGTAATGCAAGTAACCTGTAGTTTATCCATGAATACTAATTTTCCTCTTGATTTTTATCTACTAAAATTGATAAATGAGGGGATGATCATGTAAGTAAAACATATGATAATTGGAATAAATGGAAAATTTTTCTGAAGTATATCAAATTTTGAAATGCTTTAATTTCAAATTCATTTAGGCAAGTATCGAATACTTTTACAATTGTAAAAATTTTTTCTTAAGGATGTCACAGACACCAAAGGCAATGAGTTTGAAGATTTTTGCTTAAAAAGAGAATTATTGATGGGAATTTTTGAAAAAGGTTGGGAAAAACCCTCTCCTATTCAGGAAGCTAGCATTCCAATTGCTTTGCTTGGGAGAGACATCTTAGCCAGAGCAAAGAATGGCACAGGGAAAACTGGTGCTTATATCATTCCCATTCTTCAAAGAATTGATATCACAAAAGATTATATTCAGGGTAAGTTAGTCATGTAAAATTTCTAATGTTTTATACTTGAATGTATTTCTCAGTCATGGTATTCACTTTCTAAACTGTTTTGGTCCCTCAGCCCTTGTCATAGTCCCAACGAGAGAACTAGCTCTTCAGACCAGTCAAATTTGTATTGAGCTTTCAAAACACATAGGTGCAAGAGTAATGGTCACCACTGGAGGCACAAATCTTAAAGATGACATTATGCGAATATATGAAAATGGTAAGCTTATTATGCATTTGCATTAAAGTAGATATTGTTTTAAATTGTGCTTTTATAATTAGCTTATGCAGTCTTATACATGTTACATTTTTTAATAGTTCATATAATCATTGCAACACCTGGCCGTATATTGGATCTTATGGAAAAAATGGTTGCAAAAATGGATAGATGCAATATGTTAATTCTAGATGAGGTAAGTAAAAAGTTTAATAGGTAATTTGATTTTAACTTGATCATTACTATTTTGTTATATAATTCATTTTAAAGGTCAGAAAGTATTAACTGATTAGTAGCATTGCGTTAAGGAAAACAAAAAAATATATGTATTTAAAATAGGGCAGAAAAAATTAAAATATTAAGCTTATTTATGAAGTGAATGAGTACTGGTGATCAATTTCTTATATATCGGTTATGTGAAGGTAAATAATGAACGGTGTGCTTAAGTCATGTATTGGGATGTATTAAAATTAGAAATTAAGAATTTTTTTGATTAGTTTTTACTTGCATATCTTTAAGCACAAGACATGTTAATTTTTTTAATTACAAATATAAAATATTTCTTTATCGAATTTTCTTTAGCTGGCTGAAAAATACATCTTTCAAGAGCAAATAAAAACTCGAAGAGAAAATTTATATTATAAAATATTTATCACAAAAATTAGTATGTATTAGCATGTAATGAATCATTTGATTTTTTACAAGATAGAATATCAAAATTACTGGATTTTTTACGCTATCAGCTTATTGTAATTTAGAATCTAGGTAATGTGTTTATTTCAAACTTGAGAAATTTATTTTCAGTACAGAGTGATTCCAAATTCATGGTACAAACTTGAAGGGGAGGTACAGAACAAAGATATTACCAATATTCATATAAACGGAAACCTAGGTCACAGTCAGTGTATTTAGTCATAAATACTACTTAAAATGCATTTGCAATAAGAAAACTTTAAAATGAGATAGAGATCATATAACAACTCATATGAATTGTTTCAAACTAAGAATATCACCCATGGAACCTTTTATCACTCATTGTCATTGCTTCAAACTACGTCATGAAACCATTTGCATAAAAAAACACCGTTGCCGGTAGAGGGCAGTAGGTATACATCTTAGTAGGGAAAGATTCCGTTTGTGATTGTACTGTTGTCAGTGATGGGGGGGCTCAGTGCCAAAAAAGCAGTCATACATTACATGTACAACCAAGCAAACGGTAACGGCAGAACTGTGTTCTGAATATATCGCACACACTTTGTGGATAAATGAATGCCGGATCAAAAAGCATCTTGAACGTTGTGGCATATAGGCCCGAGTTAAGTAGAAAAACTGTTGCACAAAACATGTGCAAGTCAAAGTAACCATTTGGAGAGTGTTAAACGAATCCACAAGATAATCCTGTACACCTCAACTTTTGCCAGTGGCTTTTGCAGCAATCTGCATTGCAGCCAGACTTTACAGCTTGTGCTATTTGAAGATACGGTGACATTTGCCTATAAGGGGGCATTAATGCACATGATTCTTATGTGTAAGCTACTGAGAATCCAAATGCAATGTGACCACATGTGTCTCAATAACAAACCAGTGGGAATGTGTAGGCTGGTATCATCCACGACTTTTTAATATGTCCATATGCAACAACTCGATGGCCAACGTTATCCATTTTGCAATATGATAGTTTCCATTCGTAACCGAAAGTGGTTCCAGCATTATGAGCCATCAGGCCCAATCCAGCACATATTCAAAATTACCTGAATGACACTTTTACGGTGCTGTGGATTGGCTGTGGTGGACTAGTCCCTTTGCCAGCTCAATCTCCTGTTTTATTGAATCTCTGTGATTCTTTCTGAGGGCAACTAAAGTCTTGTTTATGTGACTTTAGTTGACTAAGTTGATCTCATTGCTCGAATATTGATAGTTGCTACATGTGTGTGTGTGAAACACCTGGTATCTTTGCCAGTGTACGCTAGTCTCTGCACCAACACTGTCAAGCATGTATCAATGTTGGTGGATGGAATTTTGAACAGTTCTTGTAGGATGGAATTTTGAACAGTTCTTGTAAACATCTTGTTTCATTTGAAGCGAGTCATCCTACATTTATGACTAAATAAATGGATTTGAGCCTGGGTTTCTTATGTGAATATTATTTGTATTTTTGTTCTGTACCTTCTTGGAATCTTTTGGATGTTGGCTGTTATTTTACTAAGCTTTTTTAAATCCCAGATTGGTCATAATTATGCATTTTCAAAATGGATTTTCCTTACGATCAACCAGTCTTAAAATCAGCAAAAAGTTTATCAAAATGAGTTGCATTGACCATATACTCTGTAACTGCGAAAACTTGCTGTTTTAGCCTCGAATAAGGAAACTCTTATCCAACAATAAAGAAAATTTATTGAAATCATTAAACTTAAATTACGGAAATTGTTTCCTTACTCCTATGATTTTTAGAATTTTTCTGAGTTGTATTTCTTATTAAACATTTAATGATATTTTTCTTTAACACACTTCAAATAAATTAAATATTAATTTACTGTAGGTATTTATAAAATTTTTCTTTATTTTTAAAGATTGACAAATTTTTGAATCTGTTTCATTTTGATAAATGGTGAGCTGCTGTTTATCTACATAACACTGTACATTTGTTATTTTTTCATCATATTTTAAAAGTACTTTAACTTTCTGACATGTAAGGCTGAATATATACAGCCTAGAATGTTTTTTAAATGTGTTTTGAGAAATTAATGTGATATATTAAAAGTATATAACTCCAAGTTTAAAGGACAGGGGCATTTTGGCATTAAAATTAAGAAAATGCCTCTTTCTTGTGGCACTTCTAGTTAATTTGGGTTTTCTTAGGAAAACCTCCATGTTGGTCAGACGGTTAATAAAAGCTTTTCTTACCTTCTAAGAATTTTCTAGGTATGAAAATTAAAAGTGAAACTAGCCAAAGGATATAAAATTTTTAGTTATTAAATGCTACTGTATTTCTTAAGAATTGTTATAAATAAGTATTTATAGTTCCCTTGAAATGATATTCCATGCAACTTGAAAATCTTCTGGTATGTCAGGTTTTAAGGTTGGCAGCTCTGTCAGGCTTGGTTCTAGTATCAAAAGCAGCTTCCTTTGCAGTAGTTATATTTCTGCAGTATAGTATCATGTTTAGCAATTGATTATTTAGTTTTGTATTTGTTTTTACATGTTACTGCTATCATAGTCTTTCTAAAAAGTTGTAGTTGAAAGCATGTGGTATTGAGATAGATATTTGAACAATGTTTTGCATTATGAATGAGCCAATTTCCCTTGCTCTTCCTCAAGGGTATCTCTTCCTTAGGCAGATAATCTTCATGTACACTGCGCAAAAAAGAGGGGCCTCAGTTCTATATCTCCCGTTCTACTGGGCCAATTGACGAAATTCAGATTGTGTTTTTATGCCAAAATTGGCATGTCTCGGATTTTGTGTTGAAATACCTATATTAGGACAACATTATATATAAATTTAATATACAGTCAAAAGTCGTTAATCCGGACTCGTCGGGACTTCGGCGATTCCGGATTATAGATCATCAGTTTAAATCTCGTAAGATGGCATGCAGAAATTCTAAAATTAAAAATATGAAACCGTAATTTATGAAATAAAGAACAATTATGATCTAAAGGGTATCAAAATTTGCAAAAAGAAAAAGCTTAATATTTATTTGTTTACTTTATTAAACATTTCTTTCAATGTAAGTTGTTTAAGTTTTGCTTCGTTTCATGTGATAATACTTTCTCTTTAATTCTATTAAACAGACATAATTTCTTGTTCAGTTACAAAGTTCCGCTGTTCAAGTCCTATAATTGCTGTGTCGAGAACACCGACTAATTTGTCAATCGAAATTTTTTCGTTTTCAATAACCTCTGTCACTTTCTTCGCTATCGGAAGCGAATTATAATGACGAGGAACTTGTTTTAAATCATATCAAAGACGGAGTACATATCGAGATGAAATACTACATTTGGTAAGGAATTATAAGCCAAATAAAATAAAAACATCTGCGCTGAAGATAAGGATAGTGCTGACAGATCAACTTCCAATTCATTACGCGCGCCCCCTCCCCGCCGCAGAGCAGCGTGAAATTGATAAACAGATTTCGGATTTAGAAAACAAATATGCCTTTATCCATTTTTTGCAGCAATTCCACTTTTGTTTAATGCAAACATACTTTCGCTTTGTAGATCCTTTACATATTAGTAAATATATATCGGAAATTCTATTTGATATAATCGAAAGTTTAAGCTTACTTTTATAAAATTGCTCTTACAGTCTGCAAAAAATAATAAGCCGGATCCAATTCGAAAATTAAGGAACAACGCAATCATCAACATTAACTGAAATAGATAATTAATTTTAGCTTATACGTCCATTATACATAAAACGCGCACGCGAAAACGTATTCTGCACTTGCGCATATGCATATTCGCAGCCATAAAGGTCAACGTGTGATGCATGCGCAGAAAGTTTGTAGCTTTGAGGTCCGGATTATAGGTGTCCGAATTAACGACTTTTGACTGTATATACTAAGTCGCACTTTCGAGACGTGAAAAACATGATTTGAATTTCATCATTCGGCCCAGTAGAATGGGAGGCTTCTTTTTTTTTTTCTGCAGTATATCTTGTCATATCTAAATAACCTAACCTTTTGTCCCATTACTTTTTTGGCAAATATAATGTAAAAATAAGTGGTTCTGTTTTCAGATTGTTTCATTATCTACTTCCAATATTTTAAATTTTCTCTTTTGACTCTTTTCACCATTTATAAAATTGATTAGTCATTGTGACATCTTGAGTCCAAAATGTCTGTATTGTAAGAATGTAATTTACAGTAAGAGCCAAATGTACAATAAAAGCAAAAAGAACTCATTATAAATAAAGTTAATTTTTTAAAATGCAAATTTGTAATTTTATTCTTTTCTGCATATTTAAAATATCTGCAGCAGTTCAATATTTCTGGCCACTTAATATTTAACATACTGATGATAATCAAAATCGCAATAACAACCTTGTATTTAGCATACATATATTAAAACAATTAAGGCAGCGATCGATTTCAATCGATTTCGAGGGCAGCTAAAGGTCCCTCCTCATCAGAACAAAATTACTATAAAAGGGGGAAAAAAGAAGAAAAATAAAGCATTGGCATTATTCGACGTTCAGACTTGATGTGTGAAGGTGCAGTTGCACCTCGCTCCCTATTTTTTGACTTCGCTATTTTTTTTTCCACCTTTCATTTTAGTTTGTGTTTTATGTTTGATCAGATAGCCTGGCTCAGTAAAAGTAGGCTGCCAGTGTAACTGATTCGAAATCCGGTTACGACCACGTGTTTGAGACTTTGCCAATGCTTTATTTTTCTTCTTTTTCCTCCCTTTCTAGTAATTTCGTTCTACTGATGAGGAGGGACCTTGAGCTGCCCTCGAAAGAGATTGTGTATTTTAATATATGTATGCTAAATTCAAGGTTGTTATTGCGATTTTGATTGTCACATTGATGTGTTTCTCTTTTATTCTGTACTGATGATACGTGGTTGTAACTGAAATTAACTGGCACTACATTATTGCTTTGTATTTTAATAGATAACTTGGTATTTTAAGTTGTACTTAATTGATAACTTGATAAATTTTTCAGCAGTGTAATTTATCTTTATAAATTTTCTATGTGTTTAAAATTTTTAATAGGCAGACAAATTGCTTTCTCAAGATTTTAAAGGCATACTAGATAAAGTTATAAGTTACTTGCCAACTGATCGTCAAATACTCCTGTATTCTGCTACATTTCCTTTGACAGTTGAACAGTTCATGGTAAAATTTAGTTTTATCTATTTTTAGCATTTTGTAACTAAATATGTTAACCTTTACTTCAATAACTCTTATTATTTAGTTATATATGGCAAACTGTAGTATAATATATTTTTGCCAGTTCAGATGTGGACAGTATTTAAAACTTTCCAAAAAATTTCGCAACAAAAGTATCTATTTATGTACTTACTTTTATGTTCTTAAATTTCTCAGTAGAATGTTTCTCATTAACACTTGCGCTAAAAAGACGTGGCAAGCACGTCGAAATGCTTTTGTCTCAAACCGCGGGCGACGTGAACACCACGTCGATGGGCGTTTATCGCAAAAAATGAAAATAACGTGGTGCACACGTCCCCTAATAATGAGATTGTTTATTTCTTGAATTACAGCTCTGGATTGCACTTGCAGATGCAGAGAAGCGTAAATGAGACACTTTACCGCTTGTTGTATTGTAGCGCATGGCACTGCAACCGTGAAGTTGAATCGTAGCGCAAGTGGTTAATAAAACTTCCAGTCTAACATTTTTCAAATAAAGCTAAAGCTTTTGATAAGAACAAGTGAAAATATTATCCTCATGGAGATATTGCTATGTAGTTCAGTTGTAAAACATTTTAAGTACTAAATAATTGGAACTTCTTAGAATTTTAATATTTTTTCATCTCTGCAATTACCATTTTCTTGTTATTGAGAGTTTTATATATCAAACAATATTATAAAATACTTTTCAATTAAACTTTCTGGTTCAGATATTAAATTATAATTTTACTAAAATATTGCTTTTAATGCAGTATTTACATTGATGTTTACATATAATACTTCTTTTGCAAAATAAAAAAATATTAATCATTTTGTAACTTCCATTATTGTCTTCAGGTGAGCTTAAAGTATCTAAATTTTTAAATATTTCATGTTACTGCAATTTTCCGAGATTCCTTTTTCTCATTTTACAAGCATTAAGCAAAAATTCTATTTCAACATTTCATTATATACAAAATTCATGTACAGGGTTATCCAAATTAAACTTCTCCTAAGGCCTGTGCAGAGTGTTGTATGGGTCATAATGTGATGAAATTTTAAAAACGGACACTTCAGATCATGCGCTCGAGATTTATTAAAGGGAAAAAAAAAGTACAATAAGTTGCCGATAGGTGGTGCTGCAGATCAACAAGACATTCTACACATGTTCTATATGTGTGCCGTGGTTCTCCACAACTCTTTCCATTTGCGAAGCAGTGTGTTCTACAGCAGAATGCAGTAAATCCACATTAATTCCATGAACATGTCGACTAATTGCGTCTTTCAGATGTGCCAAGGTTGCTGGGTGTTCTCGGTAGACCCGATCCTTTAAGAATCCCCATAATCAAAAGTTGCATGGCGTGAGATCAGGCGAGCGGGGAAGCCAAGCTGTAGGGAAACAGCAGCTGATCACACGTGCATCGGTAAAAGTTGCCCATAACACCTGTTGAACAAACACCACAAAGAAAATGGGGTGGTGTACCATCCTGCATAAATATCGTGTCCTGGGCCACGTTGTTGCAGTTCTGGGATCACAAACGTTGTCAACATGTCCTGATACTGTTTTCCTGTGACAGAGCATGTTTGAATGCTGTTGGAGTCACCTTTTCAAAAAAATAAGGCCCAATTACGAGAATGTTGCAATAAAACCGCACCATACAATAACCTTTGGAGAGTTCAAGGGCATTTGATGGATTGCGCACCGGTTTTCACTTCCCCAAATGCGGCAGTTGTGCGTATTTACTTGACCATTCAGGTGAAAATGGGCCTCATCCGTCCAAAGGATGTTCCACGGCCAAGCAGCATCGACTTCCATTCTGGCAAGGAACTGCAACGCAAATGTTTCCCGAACTACAGGATCCCCGTCGGACAGCTGATGACGACTATGGATTTTGTAAGGAAAATAACCGAGGATTCGACGCATCACACGCCAGACGGTCGTATAGGGCATATCAACAGCACGAGAAACAGTTGGCACACTGACAACACCATGTGGCGATTGGCTAGTGGGGTCCACGACCGCCAAAGCAACGTCTTCTACGCGTGCAGATTCCACAACCTGTCGTCCTCTACCTGGTAAAAATTCCCAGCTGTCCCGTTCTTTCGAACTTCTTCATCATGTCTCGTAGAGCGCGTGGTGTCATTGGTCCTCGGCGTAAGATCTTCAGCCGACGGAATGCTCTTATCGCAGCACAGGAGTTATTTCTCGTCATTCTGGTAGAAAAGTTTCACTAACAGAGCTTTGTCTTTCAAAGTCGCCATTGTGCATCAGCGAGCTGGAAACAACTGCCTGTGCAAGGCCTGTCTTCCACTTTTATAGGGCTCGTCTTTTGGATACGTTGCGCAGAAGCTTTATTTCTGCAAATCACGTTGCTGCAATATGCACATTACTAGTGTTACAGTGCCACCTATTCGCAACTTCTTGTACTAATTCTTTTTGTGTAATAAATTTCGAGCGCATGATCTGAAGTCTGTTTTTAAAATTTCATCACATTATGACCCATACAACACTCTGCACAGGCCTCTGAGTTGGGGAAGTTTAATTTGAATAATTTGAATAACCCTGTATACAGATTTTCTCCTAATGGCTTTGTTAAATATACACAAAGAAAGTCCCAACACCAAGGAAAAAATATTGTAATGGAATTTCAGCAGTACATTTGTAAAGGTAACATATTTCAGTGATTATATTTTCAAGATCTCGGATTAATGCAAGCACAAGAGCCATTTTAAATGTGAAATGCAGGTACACTGCCCCAAAAAAGAAAATGGGACAGATCTATATCTTCCGTTCTACTGGGACGATATTGGCAAAATTCAAATTGCGTTTTTTCATGTCTCAAAAGCATGACTTGCATTATATATTTGATTTAAGAAAGTAGAAAGATAGCATGAACAAGAGACTTTAGTGCTCAAGAATTTTGCACATTGAGCTACAAAATTTTTAAAATATTTGAAAAGAAGAGGAATGTTTAAAAGCTATTTAATTATTTGCAAGCATCTTTTTTAAATTATTAAAGTTTTTTGTATTAAAATTTATTACTTTTTCTCATCCCTTTTTGATTTTGAAGTACTCGTTATGTAATTTTTAAATTAAATTTTTATGCTATAGCTTAGACTTCTTTAGTATTGTTAGCTGTTTTCACATGATGTGACTATTTTACACAGGAACTACAGTGTCAAATGTATTTTTTAGCATAGCTTTTAAATATTCCTTTTCTTTGCAAATATATATTTGATTTATATATAGCACCGTTTTACCATAGTATTTTGATACAAAATCGAACTTTTCCTTAAATGATGTACCAATTTTTCACCGATTTTTATTCTACGGCTCATATTATGCCTAGTTATTAAATTCTCTAAAATTTGGTGCTAAATTTACGGAGAAATTCAAAAATTGGTCTTAGTGCTATTTTTTCAGTTTTGCCAAGAATAATTCACTTGGCGAACTTCTTAATATATGGCAACCAATTTTCCTTTCCCTTCCACATTATGTCGGAGCAAGCAAAAAAAAAAAAAAAAAAAAAGAGCACGTTGTGCCAACCTTTTTACATTGTGCATGAGCGGTGAAAAAGTCTCATTGTTCCTATTTTCAAATAATTATAGGTAAAGTGTCTAAATCACACTTGATGTTTTATCGCTTTCAACAAATATGCCAAATTTCAAAATGCGCTAATATATAAATTCGCTTATCTTCGGAAATTTTGAATAAAAAACTAATTTTTGCAGGTATGCTTAGAAATACATCTACTTTACGATGATAAAAATCTTATACATTATAATTCCACATTTTTTAAAAATTTATGAAAATTATTTTAAAATGCAAATTTTAAAAATCGTAAAAAATGGCTGAATTTTTATTTGGAGTGAACCTGAATTTCGAAAAGTGAAAGGAAGAATCAAAAAGTTTAATAGGAAAAGGAGAGATTAATAAATATATACCAAACTCGATTAACACTGAGGAGCTATAATTTTGCAAGCTAATTTTTTAAAAAATTACTTGTGCGATTTTTACAAAATTTAGTATATTGGCATAATTTGAGTCTTTGAATCTAAATATGGAAAAAAATTTGTATGTTATTTCAGAAAATGTTAAGTTTTGTGTCAAAATACCTATATTAGAACAATGCTATATATAAATCTAGTACATATCCTAAGTCACGCTTTTGAAACATGTAAAAATGCAAGACTTTAGATGACTCTCTCTCTCTTCTGCTAGAAATGTTCAGTGATGTCCCATAAGTGCTAGACTGGAGAAACAGCTGATGATCTAGCAGGCGTAGGTAACATGTCAAAACACTGTAGAGCAACAACAGCAATATGAGGGTAAGCGTCATCCTGTTGGAAAAACCCTGTTAAATGCTAATCACGAGTGGCAGCAAAACAGGTGGAATCATCAGACTGGTGTGCAGAATTGTAGTCGGGGTGCATGGAATAAACATGAGTGCTCCTGCTGTCATACGAAATAGCTTCCCAGTCAATATTTTCCCATATATGTTCAGTGTGTCTAGGCCTCGGACAGGTAGTTGCAGGAGCTCATCTGCCCTCTAACGAACACAAGGCTATCACTAGCACTAATGCAGAGCTAGCTTTTATCAGAAAACACAACAATCTGTGCTTTTTCTCCAATGACTTTAATGTCACATAAATAGCAGTGGTGTGGAGTCTGTGGAATGCATGCTACATGACTCTGGTTTGAACCTGTCTTAAAGTAACAAATTTATAACAGGTTGTTGTGTCACTGTGGTGCTAACTGCAGTTCTAATTTATGTAGCAGATGGCTACAATGCATTATAGCCTTACACCGAACAGCGGCCACCTGGAACCCATACTTCTGCCTGTAACTTCCCTTGATCACTGTTGCCAACAGTCGTACACTGTGAATACATAAGTCTTTCTGCACTATTCTTTTAAAGTCCACCTTCTCGTAGCCGTATTACAACCTTGTTCAAACTCGCTGGGCTGTTGTTAATGGCTTCTTGAAGGCATTCTTGACTAACATCAACTTACTGCATACAATCTCATTAATAAATAACGCTAACTAACTTTATAGTGCGTTCACAGTTTGTGCCAAGAATAATTCACTTGGCAAGCTTCTTAATATATGGCAACCAATTTTCCTTTCCCTTCCACATTATGTCAGAGCAAAAAAAAAAAAAAAAAAAAAAAAAAGGCATGTTGTGCCGACCTTTTTACATTGTGCATTAGCGGGGGGAAAAAGCCTCATTGCTCTTACTTTCAAATAATTTTAGGTAAAGTTTCTAAATCACACTTGATGTTTTATTGCTTTCAACAAATGTGCCAAATTTCAAAACGTGCAAGTATATATATTCACTTATATCTTCAGGAATTTTGAATAAAAAAGCTAATTTTTTGCAGGTATGCTTAGAAATACATCTACTTTACGATGATGAAAATCTTAAAGATTATAATTTCACATTTTTTGAAAAATTTGTGAAAATTATCTTAAAATGCAAATTTTAAAAATTAATCATAAAAGGCTAAATTTTATTTGAAGTGAACCTGAATTTCGAAAAGTGAAAGAAAGAATAAAGTTTAATAAAAAAAAGAAGAAATTAATAAATATATACCAAACTCGAGTAACATTGAGGAGTTTAAATTTTGCAAGTTAATTTTTTAAAAATTACTTGTGTGATTTGTACCAAACAAACTTGGTATATTGGCATAATTTGAGTCTTAGAATCTAAATACCCTTTGGCTTATAACCACGAGTCTGGCTCTGGGTAAAGAATTTGTTCTATAAAAAAAGCTGCAAGTCTGATTCATGGAAAGGAATTTGTGCATAAAAGGCCACATATTATTATTAGAACAAGCAATTGGAGTTATTCTACATCGAATATGTTTCCTTCCCTACATTGAATATTAACGTCAGTATTTTTTTTCCAGTTGTTTCTCACGAAACTGGATGATCTGTTACGTTAGTTCCACGTAAAGCTTTGTTACATTCACACGTTTCAAATATAATTTAAATTAATATAATTTAAATAAATAAATTTAAATTATTAATAATAATTTAAATTATAAAGAATTAAAAAACTTGTACCCAACATGCAATTATTTTTGTCAACTGATCAGTTGATTGATTACACCCTATATGTCTTAAAATTACTACTTGTATCTAAACATTGTTTATTATTTCAGTTCCTTTTGCTACACTGAAATATATGTCATGAAAAGTATACATTTTGCGCCAATTCGGGTACACGGCTGAACAGTTGAATGGCATGGCGTGTGACTGACTTTCTTGTTTACCGTAGCTCGCGCAATTGGCAGATATCTTGTAGGCCAAGAGGTTAAAGCAAACCTGATATACATGTTCATAGTGGAACTGTTAGTGCCACATTTACAGTCCTAGCACAAAATTTAAATAGACACAATTTTTTAGAAGTATAAACACGCATACCAAATTTCATTTATTTTTTGTTTCTTTTCTTAATTCTTTCTTTACCCCATCAATGTTTTTTATGCTTATCTGTGTAGAATTATTGGTTTTTTAAGGTATTAATGTAGTCAATTACATCGTAAGCTAATCAAACTACATTGTCTTTTTCCTTTAAATTAGCAGTATCTTTTAGCCCGCAGTTTAAAATTAAATTGTTACTTTGTCATTTGCATTAAAGAAATCAAATAGGCGTGTATTGTGATAAAAGTAATTTTTCTAACTTAAGTAATCATTTAAGTTTCTAATTTTGCAACATTGGTTCCAAATCTCTTAAATGCTTTTCTAGTAATGAAAACCTGCCCTCCTACTCAAGATGCATCGTTTTTGTCTATTGATGAAGTACACAAGTTGAATAGTGGCATGCATGCGACTTAATTTTCCTACTGTTCTGTTTCCTATAATTGCCACATTCGTGAAATTTAAATGAAACTAGTACCATTGTGCATTAATGGTACTAATAAAATCTGTTAGTTTATTTAAACTTGACCACTGGTTTACACAAATACTTCTGTTAGCACATACATTAACAATATACTAGGCATACGCTAATACAGAAGTACTACAAGCAGTTTAGTTTGTTCTAAAAGGTTACTTTTTCCTATTAAAAAATTCTTCCATTTTTGTACATTCTGTATTGAATGTGACTGAACTTTTTTGACATTAATAAAATTAATTGGATTTACACCATTTTAGATTCCATTGTTGTTCTTTATAATTCATTAAACTATATACATATTTTATGTGGACCATAAAAACATTAGAGAAGTAAATTTTGTAGGAACTGGTTTTGATGGTTCTGTAGTTAAACTATTGAAACTAGCCCTGCTGAATTTATAAATATTACACTGATTCTTGTTAGACTTCTCATATCATCATTTGGCATGTTATTTTAACCTAAATATAAAAACACGTCGAATAATATAAGTGCCTCCTTTCTAAAAAAAAAAAAAAAAAAAAAAAAAATGAAACTGAAGGAAAGATTTTCCTTAAATACTATAAAAGGTTATTTATCACTAGCTTTGACTATTAAAAGCCTATATTTAGCATTTTACAAGATTTCAGAAAGGGGAAAACCTGCATTTATATCTGGAATGCATAGACATTCTTAAACATTTGAGAGTAAAACATCTTGGGAGATAATGAAATCTCCCTGACTATGAATATGGTGACAATCCTGTCAAACTTGGTGAATCATTCTGGTAGATGTTTGAAAGAATGATAGTCTAGCAATGGTGAAAGGCATGCATGAGATAAAGAAAATATTATAATGATGCTGAGAATTACTGTGATAGCTATTTTAATTTATACTTATTTGTGTATATTATTTTCTTAGTATTGTAACTCCATTGAAATAAAAATGGATTTTATAATTTTATGTACTCTTCAAATTTCTTCAAGCGGAAGCATTTGTCAGATCCCTATGAAATAAATCTTATGGATGAGCTAACTTTAAAAGGAGTAACACAGTATTATGCTTTTGTGCAAGAGAGGCAGAAAGTCCATTGTTTAAATACATTGTTTTCAAAGGTAAGTATTATCATAATATTGCTAATGCATTCATGGATCTGTTTGATCCTCAAACATTAATTTATGTATAACTTCTTATAATGTCCAAGTTTTAAGTGGGGGCTGTTTGATAATGTCATTAATTCGTATTTAGTGCACGTCCTTATAAGTGCTTATAAGTCCTTATATTTGAAAATAAAATATTAAGGCCCTTATAGGTGCTTACTTTTGCTTTTTTTTTTTTTTTAATGAAAGTGCAATTTTTCCCCATACCAAAGCCGAAACTAAATAAAAAAAAAAAAAAACTTTTCTTCCTAATATGGAATGTCGGATGGTGAATCATACTCCTGGAAATAGCTTTTCCCCCTTTTTCTGCATTAACATAACCTTTGGTCTGCACGGAGAGTACAGACAGGTGCCCGTCATTCTGTTGGTCAAAGAATTGTGAAAGCAGTTGAAAATTCCGGTACATTCGGCATTCTTTTCCTCCCACCCAAATACTATACACGTTTGAATTTCTATCAAGATCTTAATAATTTGCATTCTCGTTCCGCTTGGTCAGTTCATATTCATGTTTATCATGCTCGTTATGCTTATATTATGAGCATATGTATGGATGTTTATAATAACATAGTTGCAGTAACTGCTGAAGTATAGTAAACTTCCAAAAATGGTTGTGTTTTAACACTAGCTTTCTAAGGAATAATATTCGGAATGGCTTAAATAAAGGGAAAGTAATTTAATAGTCAAAATAATTTCATTTTTTTGGCCAATACATTATACAGTACGAATGTTGGGAGGTTCTCCCCTTTTTCCGCAAAATCTTGAATATTGAAACTGTTATAGTTCGCTGCAAAGCAAGCAACAGACTTTTTTTTTTGTTTTGTCACTTTCCAATCTGGTTTGAATAGGACTAAAAGTTCTACGGTCTACCAACCCAAGCGAAGGATGATTCTATTCTAGAAATTTAGTGCAGTCTGTTGAAAATCAGAATGAAAAACATCCCAGATTGTTAAGTCTTTCTTTTCCTTTCTTTAGTTCTTTATTCTCCCAATGCCAGCAGCTGTTGAATCCGATTGCGTAATATCATGTAGGGAAGAATTATGGCGCACGTATTGCGTAATAACGTTTGCGATATTTTGCAGAGATAATTAATTTTGATGTTCGGTCCCAGATTTGTTTATGAACACTTAAGAGTTTTCCTGTGCTTGCAGAGCAGAATATTTTTCTGTTCCGTTGGTTTGTTTTTATATGAAACAAACCAACGGAACTTGCACATATCGAAATCCCCCTCCTCTCCTCTTTTTCAAGTTACGCTCCGCTGTCCGAATATTTGCCAATTTTCAAGTAGGTGGGTAGTTAAGCTTTTACTGTTAAAGGATGAAGCAAATTTCTGTCTTCTGATTTCAGAAATATTCCTCTTTTTTTATTTAAATTACTTTGCTTGCAATATCTGTTAATGGAAAACTGATATACGATGAAAATTTAGAAAATGTTCAGAATTTAGATTTAAATTAGTTAAATATCAATAAGAGTGGAAAAATAAATTGTATTTATTATTAAGTTCAAAGCGAATAGAATAAATATGCCTTATTATTATTTATTTCCTCTATTTTGAACTGAAATTTCATCATTAAATCTTGTAATATAGTTTAGTTCTGCATAGTTTTTTTTTTTCTCTCATTGTAAACTAGTTCTGTAAATTGAACTGTTATTTAAAATTTTAAAAAAAAGTAAGTATTTTCCATGGTTGAGGTAATGTTTATTCTCTCTTAATAAATACTGCATTTCTCATATTTTAAATTAAGAGTCTAATTTTTAAGGTTATGCAGTTTGTATAATGCAATTAAACGGGTGCTTATATTTTTTCTTAAAATGTGCTTGAAAAGTGCTTATAGGTGCTTATTTTTTTAACTAAAATGTGGCTGTGAACCCTGTAAATAGTTTTATTATGGATGTTTTTTCCCTTTTCAATGTATTGATTGCTTTTACATAGAATTCATATTGCACTGCTATATTGAAAATGGCTCTTGCTTTGCATAAAATTAAATTGCAAAACATTACTGTGGGAGGTTACAGATAATCAGAATGTATTATTTTTTCTTCAGCATGTGAATTTATTGCAATTTTTATTAGGATTTTTTCAGTACAAAACAATTTAAGTTTCTGAACACTTCCAAACCTTTAGCTCTATAGCAATATAATGTTTACAAATACTAGATTTCCATATTTAGAACTGTATTCCAATCTATAAAGACTTAAGAGAATTTTTGGTCTAGCTTGATTCGTTTGCATCGTAACACTAACTTGATCATTTGATCACTCATTTTGAATTGTCAAGTTATATAAATTTTACTGCTACTCACTTTTAATTTTCAGATTGATATAAATAGAGGTTAAAAACTGAAAATTATAACATTTACAATGTTGGGATGATGCAGATTTTATCTGACGTTGAAAACTACACATTTTAGACATTGAGTGAAAAGCGACCTGTAACCTTCCTTCTGTAGAAGGAGATTTAAAAAATTGATATGCATTGAATGTTTTGTAACTGGTGAATATGATGTCTGGGCAAGATGACTTAGCTGAATCAATAGCCTGAAGGACTAGGGATGGGTCAGACATCCGTTGTAGCAGAAGCATGAAGAGTTTCTCATTGTTATTTCCAGATTATGCTTTAGATTTATGGAAGCCATAAGATGGTGCACTATGAACACCCCCTTGTTGCAACAGCATGTTAAAAGGATGTTGCTGATGCCAGAGTTTTGACTCTAGCTGTTCTAAACAGACTTTACGATGTGGGTGTGTATGCTCATAGACTTGTGATTTGTGTTTCGTTGATACAGGACCACCTTGCTGTTTGCAGAAGATGGAAAAGAGGTGACTAGAACAATATCTACAGACAAGTCCCATTTTAGTATATAACCTGACAAGGTGGATTCTCATTCGTTCTGGAGAGAACCTGGTACACAGAATACTTCTGCATTTGTGTAAGAAAGTGTCCAGTTTGGTGAAGGTGGGATGATGATCTGGGCCAATATTTATGTCAATGGCTGCACCAACCACCACATTACAGGAAACGGAAAGCTAATGGCTCAGCAATATAGTGATGAAATGTGAGACCTGTTGTGGCTTTTTATGCGGCAGCAATCTGGGATGAATTCATATTCATGGATGATAGTGCCAGGCCGCAGTGTTAAATTAGTCGACAATTTCCTTTTTGATGAAGGATTGGCCAGAATGTTTCCTAAATATGAACCCAATAGAACATGTTTGGAACATCCTAGAGAATAGCATTGCTAGTTGCTGATCAACCCCAGAAATAATTCAATAGTTAAAAAGCTCTCTTCTACAGGAGTGGGAGAGAGTCCTTGATTTGTCATTCAAAATTAACTCATTGAACTAAAACTTGTTCTTATGTGTAAAAAAAAATAGTCACTTTGTATATCATTGAACTGTTATATAAAAGATTTTTAAATAAAAGCTGCTTACATTTTGCTGTTTCCTCAGATGTGACATGGCAATAAGGTTAACTTTCTATGTCTTGCTCATTAAATTTTTAATCCGAATATCAAATCTCGGGGAAGCCTTTTCATATGAATTTCTGTATGCTTTTGTCCTTTTCTTAATGTGTTTCAATATATCTAAAATTTCCCTCTTGATTTATGTAAAAGCTGTAAGTTTGAGTAATTGGTGTCAACAGTATATTTTTTAATGATGGTGAAGTGAGCTCTGTACTGTGTGATGTGTAAGGGGGTTATCATATCTAGTGATGGTCCCCACTAGACAGAACTTTTCCAAAGATTCTGGTAGCATTGGTTTAAACTGGAGAATTCCTAGAAGAAACAGTTCCGCTGAAAGCGATGTGCCGGCTACACGGGATATTTCGAAACTTCGACAAAAATGTTCCGTCTGCATTTCTGTCCCGAGTAAGGATCAACAAATCGGACGAAAGTCCTGCTTCTGAAGGATCACATGATCCCAGTCTGAGCAATAATCGATTAGTAAGTGAAAATGGTAACCTAGCTATGTAGGTTTCACTGAAATGTAAGGCTTCTGAGAAATGTTCTTTTTGATGTCCAGTCCCGTGTAGTGGAAGCATATGTGGTGGGGATTTAAGATTGTTTTCATCGATTACATTGAAATCTAGTTAATCTTTTTATATAATAAGTGTTTTTAAAAAGTTTTAATTTAAAGTTTTTATCTTAATGCGTGGAATAGAATATTTCTTTTAGTTATCTTAAAAATTTTAATGAAGCAAGTTTTTATGTAAGGGTAAGTTTTTTACTACCATTATAGAAATTTAGAGATATTACATGGAATTGTGAATTATACTCTAATAAAATTATATTTTTCAGCTTCAAATAAACCAATCAATAATTTTCTGCAACTCTACACAGCGGGTTGAACTACTTGCTAAGAAAATTACTGAATTGGGATATTCATGTTATTACATACATGCAAGGATGTCGCAGCAGCATCGTAATCGTGTCTTCCATGACTTTCGAGCTGGCTTATGTCGAAATTTGGTTTGCTCTGGCAAGTTATCTTTAAATTTTATTTATGCATGTATAATTAATCACTAAATTTTCCTGTTCAGTTTGAAATCTGCTTTATTATCTATTACTCCTCAGTGCAGTAATTAAAATTATTTTAAAAGCTTCTGGAATTTTACCTGTCCAGTTTTAATTTACCTACCTGTTCATGTAATGTTGACTCACTTAGGACTGATAAAAATAGATCACCATTCACTGCCATTATTTTGAAAAAATTTATTCGAAATTCACGTATTAGTAATTTAATTCCTTATAATAAAATAATGCACTAAGCTTTAGCAGAAGCATCAGATAAACATAATTTACAATAATCTCGCATGTATAAAAATTGCAGAAAAATAAGGAATGTTAAAAGAACTGCTTTAAGTCTTCAGGCTCAAGTTTTTACCATTGTCAAAATTTTCAGCCTGCATTGCTTTAATGTTAATGCAAAGTTTTAATTTATTTTTGCATATAAATGAGTTAAAATTTCAATGATATTTTGAATTTAGATCTTGTTATGGATATATTGAACAATAATTAAGTTCACTGCTAAGGATTTATTAATTTTGAGTCTTCCTATACCCTTTAGTCTTAAAATTTGTTACGGGAAATATTAATTTTTGATGCCATCTCTTTCCAAACTTTTATATTTTATTGAGAACAAAATTAAAAATTGTAAAATTACTTTTATGAGTAATCTTAGTGTAATCTGAATTATGCTCAAATGGGGCAAAATCAGATGAGTAATGTAAAAAATTTTCTTCCCTTTAAAACATGTTTCAACAGCATTTTGATTTCTGGAATAGGTAAACTTCTATGTAGATCTTGTACAGTTGCAATTCATTAGAGCAAAACCCCTTCCTGTCTTTAACTTTCTGTGTCATCGCAGACATTTGAATATGTTTGCTGAGGTAATTTATTAGTTGTTACATATTTTAGCTGTGGAAAATTAGATTTGGAATTTACCATTTACTTATTTTCATATAATTCAGCATTTATAAACTTTCTTGCTTTTGCAGTGTTTGCATTGTCTTTGGAAAGTAATAGATAAATGTTTTATATCGAATTAGTTGATGGCACAGTGGAAGTGTTTAGTAAATTTAATTTCAGTATAATTTTTGTCCATATTTTCTTCGTTTTAATACTAGATGCAGTTTTTAAACAAGTTAATATAAGATTACCAATACAGCTATATAAACTTAGTTTAAAATAAGCCATTCAAAGTGATTGAGACAAACAGTAGGAAATTTCCAATATTGTATTATAAATTTCACAGCATGTCTTTTTGTCAAGGCTTAAAAGAAATATTTCCATCAAGTGACTATACAGTCTCTAAATGCCGGGGTTATGTCATCAGTACATTGTGCATACAGTAAAATCTCATTCTGCAAAATTAACTTTCTGTATAAAAACTGTTGGGTTTCATTAACAAATTTATTGTTATGAATTTTGTATAGATTAACATGAAATGGCTGAAAAAACGAAGCATTGCTAGAAAAATAAGTTTGTGGGGGCAAGTCTATTTAACATTGAGTAAATGGCCTTCTCATAAAGATGGTAAGATATTGCTAAGTGCCGAACTTGGCAACATTTTGGTCCAGTCCATGTATAAGTGGTACTGTAATTGATTTGTATGTGTAACTAACCATATCCAGCTCTTTTTTTTTTTTTTTTTTTTTCCAGTAATTTTGAGAACGGTAGCCTGAAGAAAATTACAGTGTAGTTATAATTAGTGACCCTATTCATACCCCTGTAGAACCAGTTTTGCCTCTCGGATTTTGATGAAACTTTTATATATGTTATATGGATTTCTGTAGTAAAAAGTTCAAATTTATAACACCAGATGGCAATTTTCAAAAATTCCTTACGAGAATTAGTCAAACCTATAAAGAGACTTGCAGTCAGAGCCAGAAAATCATTCTGTGTGCCTTTGTCATTGTTAATCATGCCCTTACAGAAAGATCGAGCTTTACTGGTAAAACTGTCGTATCAGAACGGCAGCAATAGCGTAGCTGCATTGTGTGAATATCGTAGTTTAAAGAAATTATTGAAAGGATTCATGTCGAAGAATGGTTTATAGACAATGATTTTAAAATTTGAAGAGACTGTAGATGAATGTTGCCAGGAAGAGGACGAAAACTGGTTGCGAATGAAACTGTCAAAGACGTCGCTACTGCTGTGTTTGAAAGAGCCTCCAGTTCCCGCTATTATTCAGCAAGTGCTCGATCGGAGTCACATGAGTTGACGACTCCTTGGTCAACAATACAAAAAATTATGTGATCCATTTTAAAATGGTATCCGTGCAAGATCCACTTGGTGCAAATGCTAAAACCTTAAGACTATCAAACGCTCTGAATTTGCTTGCTGACTTTTGCCGAGAATGAATGTTGATGACTTATTGCCTTGGAAAATTCCATGGTCAGATAAAACACACGTTTCTTTAGATAAAGCTGTGAATAATCAAATTGCTGCATATGGGGTACTTCACATCCTAATGTCCTGCACCAATAATCACTGCATTCTGATTGTGACAACATGGTGTGGATTTACTGCTGATTTTATCCTCAGACCATGTTTCTCCGAGACGCTTGCTCCTCAGGGTGAAACGTGCTGTCACAAGTGCAGGGTATAGTGAACTCCTTCAACGGCAAATCATCCTGCTTTACAAGAATAGTAAATGTAAGTAGACCACTGTGTTCATGCAAGATAGAGCAACTTCTCACATTGGGCACCAAGTAAAAGAACTGCTTCGTGCTAACTTTGCGTTACTCACCATCTTTCTGAAATCCCTCGAGAGTTACTTTATGCTAACATTGAATGTGCTGTAATGCACTTTCAGTACATAATTGATGTCAATGGAGCAGACATTGAGAACATTCTGTAATTGAATAAATTTTAATGGTTCTGGCAGATTTTTTTGTCCTTCTTTAGGGGTTATTATTCTCTCTGATGTCAAAATTTGAACCTATTTATTACAGAAATATGCTGAAGTGCCACTGAATTAAGGATAGACATGGCTATACAAATTTTGCACTGTGTGTCATTTTTATGCTCATGTGAAGTCTTTGTGGTAACTGCATATATAACTAGTGCTGTGGTTGTTAATCAGTCATTTCAATTGCCAGTAAGGGTAAAACAATTAAACATCTTCAGTTGAGGGCAGATAATAGGCGCTCGACATATGGGCCATTCAATTTTTGAAATCATCAAAGGGCTAATATTTTCAAGGTCTTCAGTGCCAAGTATACCTAGAATATATGGATGGTGGGGGGGGATTAGTAATCGGGCAAATTACAGAGGGACGTGTTGTACATAGCATACAAAGCCAAAAATTAGCTCAAATTATCATCCACTTGAATCAAGTTGGCAGTCGTATAGTTGGTAAACGAATCGTGCAATGCTCCCTTCACCATATGGGTTTCGGAAGCCATAGAGCCACGAAAGTATTATTGCTCAATGCATGCCATCTAGCTGCACATCTTACTTGGGCAAGAGAATGCAGAGCATGGACTCTACAGAACTGGAAATGAGTAGCATGGACTGACGAGTCTCAATTGCGACTACTTTACAAGGGTGGGAGGCGAGAATAGTCGGTTAGGCGTATGAAAGCAATGAACCTGCATGTCAGGTTGGAACTGCACAAGGCATGTTGGCTCAGTAATGGTCTGGGGTGTTTGTTCTTGGCAGTGTTTGAGATCCTTGATACTTTTACCAACCTATTTCAGTATGATTTGGTACGTAAAGTTGCTGGGCGATCTCATCTCCCTCCATTTATATTGTCCTGTCATTCACACGGAAATTGAGTACTTGAGCAAGATAACTGCACCTCTCGCAAGTCTCGGGTGGTTACTGCATGTTTGGAAGAACATTCTGACTTCGCAGTCCCAACTTAAATCCTACTGAGTACCTTTCGGATGCTTTGGAGGCAGATTGAAACAACACTGCATAATACTACAGCCTCTTCCTGAATTATGGGTAACTCTATAAGATGTTTTGAGATTCCCGTGGACTGCTTCTGCAAACTTATTTAATCCATGCCTCGTCATTTGGCAGCCATTATCAAGGACAGAGGAGGCCCTACTCGATATTTTGTTATCCTTAATTCGGTGGCACTTCAGTGTAGTTTCCTCCATGGTCCATGTAACATATATACCATATTTCACCAAAATTCAAAATAGGTTCTAGAGTAGTCTGAATAAGGTCACTTTAATTATAACCATCCTGTATATATGCTCGAAGAGAACATCAGTTTTCTGGTTCTCCGTGCATTCAATCATTTACGAACCCATATGCATACAATATGCATAATTTAAACTTGAATATTGTTATAACTTAACGAGTTAACTGTGGTGCTCTTGTTTAAGAGTGCGCACCGTTTTGTATTGCCAGCGTCGAGCCATGACGAGTATATTCGTCAATCACAAAGTAAGTTGCACTGGTAAGATATTAAATGAAAAAGATGGGTTTATTTTATAAAATTGAAAATTTTATTACTAATATTTACTTATTTGGTTAACATAAGCATATGTTACATACATATTAAACTAAAAATGCAATCAATTAAATTAAATATTATACATATAAAAGTAAGAATTTAAATTCCTGCTATGGAGTGATATTCAGCAAAACAGGGTACTATACACAATGGGACTTTGCAAATCGAATGCCTTCACGTAGGGTTGCTTTTCCCCCGATGCTCCGTGTATATAATCCAGAACATGATTCTCTCCTAATTTGCTTATATTTTATATTGGGTCTAAATGGTCGAGTTTGTCTATTTATTTCTTTCAATTGGATACATCGTAAAAGTGTCTTAAATAAATTTGAACAAAAAGTAGTTACGCGATAATGTTCCATAATTTTTTTATATAATATGAATGCATTCAGACACGAAATGTCTAAGAAATGGAGAAATATCTTTTTGTAGTACTTTTTGAGTCTTTTTCTTGCTGTGGAGTATGCTATGATAATTCCATCACTCGTATCCACTCTACCCATTTT